TATATGAAATAGCTCGGGCATGACGAAATGCAATCAAATTTTTCACCTCACCCTCTTTTCCAAACAAGCCTTCCGCACCTCTATGTGTTTCCTTCCGGTTTAATCCGGTGGGTCGACTCGCATGAGGGCATTTAACGCGTGTTACCGTGTGTTTACCTGGCCATTCCTGAATAGCCATACGAATCGCGGGGGAGCAGTTGTCTTTTCATTCCTAGCAATCACCTGGCACTGGTGAAACGTCTGTGTGTGCCTCTGATAATTATTCTCCAATTTATTCAGTCTCTTTTGCGATGTGAAGATTTCCAGTGACAGTCTGCACATGTTTTGTTTGTGCAATTGATGTTATTTTGCGTTCATCAGAAGACCATGGAGAAGAAAACTCCGACGTTATCCAGGACATTCGTGTGCTGCTCCAATTTCCTATTCCTGGTAATTCTTAATTTTATAAATGGAACTGCCCGTGTTACTCCTATCTTTAATTTATCTAACATTTTTTTTTATTCTTATTTATTTCTATAGTAATCAGATATTAAACCAATTATTTATGCAGTGAAAAATATAATTTTAGGTATCAGGATTTGCAGTCATGGCACTCGGTATTTTACTCCTCATCGATAATGAGCGAGTTCTTCTCTCCAGACTTGTTGGATCCAGTGATCTCCATACCGATCAACCCCTTTTCTATTACATGTCCTTTGCTGTTGTAGGGCTAGGTTTTGTTATAGCAATCACAGCACTCTTGGGGTGTTGGGCATCTTGTTTTACCAGTCGCTGTCTCACTACTTGGGTGAGTTTAGAAAAATATTTCGAGCATAACGCAAAATAATTTATCTTCCCACATCAGCAATCCAAATATTTTACTGATTACACTGTAGTAATAATAATAATTATTATATCATGATCATCCTTTGACAAACTGTTGGCACCGAATTCAATTAAAACATAAAAATAATAATATTTTAATGGAATGAGGTCTTACTAGTGTAAATTCGTTACGCACCGTTGCATTAAGCAGTAGATAAAATGGGGAAATAAATTCTTTCAAAAAGACTCCATTATGTAAATTATTTTCTTTCAGTACATACTGTCATTAATTTTCCTATTACTGGGAAAATTCGCCTGTTGTGTTGTGGCTGTATTTTGGCCGCATTTATTGGGCATTGAGATTAGAGCTAGTAAATTAGTTCGGGCTCTGCAACGAAATTATGCATTACCTGGACGTGAACAATTCACAGCAGCTCTAGACCTCGCGCAAACAGCAGTACGTACATTTGTATTGAATTTACAGCAATGCTCAGTGTAATTTAATGGAATTGTTGAATAGTTTTCCTGTTGCGGTATCAACGGAAGCAGTAATTATGGTACGTCGTGGTGGCGACTACAGGAAGTCGGACGTCGGGAATTGGTTGTACCCCTTACATGCTGCACCCTTAACAATACCCAATTACCGGATGCTTTTCTAAATCCGCAACCCCAAGATCTTCAGCTGTGTCAGACGTTAAATCCTCTCGAACATCAACGTGCACGTCATAATACGGTTATTTATTTATTTAAAATATGGGCGTTGGGGAGAGCTCGCGATCACTATCTTCCATTTCCTGTTCATGACACTTCATTGTTTTTGTTCTTCAGGGCTGCTTGGAGATGATAGAAAAGTGGACGCAGGATCAGGCACTTATTTTTTTAGGCATTGGGCTCATTGTGATGTTAATCGAAATGAGTGCATTGTTGAGTACAATATTATCTTGGTCCAAGTCCAAACCCAAGAGGAGAAAAAATTTGTCGACATTCACGTCGACTCAGACACTGACACAATCCCCTACATTCACTCTTGAGAGTAATCACAATTTTGGTAAGAGATATCATTCAAGTGGTTAAATGAAATAAATTGAATTTATTTTAAAGAAGCTTGTGAATTGTGCCTGCTGTATTGATTTTTAATGTGTGAAATGATTATTGATTTATAATTAATGTAAATCAATTTATGAAAAATCAATGTATAATTTTTTTATATCATAGGATTGGGAATGGAAAATAGCAGAAGTCATACAGATGGTTCGACATTTTGTGGTAAATCTTGAAGGTGGTTGGAGGACAGTGAGAAACAATATCCGTTAAATCCAAATAAATCCCACAGAATTGAAGAATTACAAGTTGATCGGTTACCAATAAATCCTAGATCCAGTGAGTCCAGGGGATTGATTGAGGAATGGCGCAATCGAAAGACGAAATATCCCTTAAAAATTCTGACTAATGAGGAATTTTATGAGGAGCGTGCTGTCGACGTGCCAAATGAATCCTCATCGAACTTACTTCTGCTCAATAATTCCAAGGCATTTAAAACGACTAACAAAGGGAGGAAAAATCGGAGAAAACAGAGAGAATTATCACTGGGAGGAACAGTGATGAGTATTCCCTTGAAAAATTATCGAGCATCACTCGCTCAAAATATGGGATCATTACGGAGTTCCAGTGTACCTCATTGTCAATCTGACTCGTTAATTTCTGCTCGATATCGAAGCGGCAACAGTAAACGAAAAAAGAAACCGTCGCCTGTGGAATTTTCCCAGAATCACAGGCATCGTAATCATCGGCGAAAATGTAAGTCAAGATGTTCAGCTGTGAATAACGAATCCACTCCCATATGTCGATCAATCCAAAATGAAGAAATGGAAAAGCAAAATAACCAGCAAAATTATCCAGAGCATTCGTTCAAACTCCAGTATGAAGACGAAGAATTATCCAGAAGTAATGTTTTGCAGAAGATATCAGTTTACGAGGGAAACTTGAGATCTAGGCACGATACCAACATTCAAAGAGCCGTCGATTACGACAATAAACATCAATTACTCGGAGTTCCACTTGTTGGAATGCATAATGCCTGTGGTCTTCCCATAATCGCCTCTTGGTCAAATGCTGTTAACACACCAAAATCTGTGACAGCTCGAGAAACAGCGGAAACATCTGAGAGGCTCATTCATCGTCTGTCAGAAGAAACGAGATCTCTGAGGGCCTCCAACGACATGGAAAGGAAAAATGAATCCAGTTATCAGAGATCATTCGGGAAATCTTCTAAGCTGTTGTCTCAACGTTCATCTTCCAAAAGATCCTCCAGATCTTCCAAAAGTTCTCCCAGAAAATCATCCGGGGGAGTGAAACTGTCGAGAGGAAGTGATTCTTTCTCGAGAAAATCGCTGACTGCTTGGAATCGCAAGAGATCGACTCTCTACGCCAAAGATGATGGCAATGAAGCTGCCGATGTTTTGCTGAATCTCTGTTTAAATCCAATGGCTAGACATGAGAATACCACCAATATGATCTGGTAATTATACATTTTTGTCACCTGCCTTCTCGCTGTCCTCTGAATTTTGTATTAATATATTTTATTAACTATTAATATTACTTAATAAATTTATTTGAGATAATTATTATATTTGATAGAATCATTGTGAATTTGTTCGTTCTCATATTCTCTTTATTTTCTCAATAAATCGATTTATAATATACATGATGATGATATTCTGAATTCAATCATTCCCATAGCTTT